ACTCTCAACAGTCTCCAATCTTCTGAAGCATAACAAACAAGTTCTTACATGGTGAACAAATTCTTACATAGTGAATAAGTTCTTACATGGTGAACAATGCAAGGGCAGTCATCACAGAAACTTTCGGTTTTGATCACGCATCATGTGGTTCATTTAATTTTTACAATATCCCTGTGAGGTAGGTTCTGGTTTTACACCTGAGGTACAGTGAGATTAGGTCACTTGCCCAGAGTTCCAAGGCTAGTAAGTCACGGAACCATAATTTGAACCCAGGCATCCCATCTTTAGAGTCTGAGCTCTTAATATCTGACGTGAGTAGTTTGTGGCTATGCAGTATGGCTGAAAAGTCTAGCTTTAAGTTTGGTTTTAGAGTTTTATAGTCTTTCTTTCAGGTCTTCAGATGTTTTCTCTCTCAGCCCCCTATTCCCTGAAGAAGCAAGGTTCTTTCCAGCTAGTACTACAAGTCCAAAGAGAAATGGTCCTCCAAGCAACTGGCCCTTTAGAATTGTCCTGAGCTAGTGTTTTCCTAGGCATTCAGCCCAGCTCATCCTCCCAGTCTGCACCGGGACAGGGAATGTTTAACGTACTGCTGGACTTAATCCTTTCTCTTATTAGCTCATAGCTTTCCCTTCACATTCACATTCCTGTCCTTCCCATACCTCCACCCCTGGCCTCCTATTTATATATCCACTTTGTCCCTTGCAACCAATCCTCTTGGCTCTCACTCTCCCATGGAATCATCAAGTCTTTGGGCTAAAAATGCACTTCAGAGTTGATCTAGTATATACCCCCATTTTATAAAGAAGAAATTCAGGCCAGGAGAGCTGAAGTAACTTGCTTATCTAGCTAAAAGGGGCAAACTAGCAGCACTCGGACCTTGGTTTCTTAAATCTTGTCTTGCCTTCTTGTTGCACACCACATTACTGCTGTTGTCTCTGCCCTCTGCCAAGCCTGGTTTCAGCATGTTAGACCCAATTAATTTTGTTAGACATTTATAATTTTTAATTATAACATCCATTTATACTGAGGAGGCCTGGGATAGTTCTCAATTACAATGAGAAAGTACATCTTTGTATCTGTACTGCATAATTGGAACTTTATGTATCCATGATCTTTAAAAGGAAGGTAGAAATGGAGGTAGCAACATCTGGGAGTTTGGGGACTCCCAGATCATTCAGTGACTTAGAACTGTTTAGTGACCTAATCAGACTAAGTCCAGGCCAGTGCCCAAAGGTGAAATGCTTGG